AATAAACCTCTTAAAATGATGTTCACACATCACCCTCCTCAAAGTGATCAAAAATAGTTTATTCTTATTACAGGAAGAGCAATAACTGGAGCACAAGCCACAAAGGCTCAGTTAACTTTCTCAATCACAATTAAATTCTTCCTGAACTCCTCAAGTCTCCTACGCTAGACGCACTACCTTTTACAGGTTATGAGCCCAACGCAAGCCTCCATCGCTGACGACCGCGTTTTTCCTCGCCTCAATGGGAAGAACTTCATCATCTGGAAGACCCGCGTCACGCCCGCGCTCGAAGGTAAAAACCTTATCGGTTTCGTCACCAAAGCCGGCTACGCTGGAGACTCGGACAACGAGTTCAGCGATGACGATGACCTCGACCCTGCTCTCTTCGACGAGAACCAAGCCGTCAAGTAGACCCTGGACGAGATTGGTGCACCAAGTGCCGATCCGCCCGAGGATTCCTCATCGAGTGGGTCATCCGAGAGCAGCTCCACAGCATCCGATGCTGATGGTGACGTCGAAATGACCCAGGCAAATCTTCCTGTGGTCAAGACCCTCGCTGCCACGAAGCAGGACGAGCGTAAACGAGCTGAGAAGCTGAAGGCTAAGCGCCACAAGCCGAGCTCAAGAGCACTTCGCCTCATGGAAGCAAAAGCCAAGGCGTTTCTGATCAAGACTATCGATGATCAACATGTGCTTATGGTCAAGGATAAGGCAACTGCGTTTGATATTTTCCAACCGATATGTAGCAAGTACGAAGGTGCTACCGTACGCGGTGACCCGGACTACATCCAGTCGTACCTCATGATAACGAAGTACGTTGAAGGTACAAGCCTGGCGACTTTCGTCTACGAAGTAGAGAACGTCATGAAACCTGCGGCAGAAGCCACTGCCAGCGTCATGAGGGACCAGAAAAATTCACTCATGCGCTGCCAGAAGACTGGAAGTCTGGACTGAATGTCTGGAAAGGCACGAGGAAGTACATCCCGTATGAAAACCTCAAGCGCAACATTGAGACCAAGGTGCACCACGAGCTAGCGTGAAACCACTATGTGCTCAAGCAAGGAACTCCTGGATCCAGAGAAACCCGTGCCGAAAAAGCAATGCAAGCCACAATTCCTGAATCAGCACCTGCGCCACTAACACCACAAGGAGAATCTGCACTGGTGTCATCCATGAGGTGGTGTCATCCATGAGGTGCACCTACTGCCTTTGCAACAACCATGATACGATCGACTGCTACATTCTGCAGCGTCACCTGCAAAATGGTCAGGTCAAAGCTGGAACAGTGCTACCCGCCAATTTCAAGCTGAAACCTCCGCAGAACTCCCAACGCTCGCATCCCTACAAGGGCAACAACAGCAGCAATGGAAAAGGTGGAAACCAGTCTCGAAAAAACAACAACAACAACAACAACCAGAAGAAGGATTCTCGAAACGGACAACGTGGTGGAAATAACAACAATCAGGGACGCAACAAGTTCCATGGCCGTCGCAACCAGAACGACGACGAAGATTCCGACGAATACGGTGTCGTTGCCATCACCACGCTTGATCTACGGCCAACTATAGAATGCATGAGCCTCACGGCTGAAGAGAATGCTCAAGACCCAATGTGGACAGTTGACTCTGGCTGTACCCGTCACGTGAGTTCAAACCCCATGTGGTTCGAAGAGCTGACTCCGTGTACCGGCAAGGCCATCACTGTTGGGGGGGAATCACCAAATTCCCATTAAACGAACGGGAACCGTGAAGATACGTGTTAAGAACACCAAGGAAAAAGAGCAAACGGTCACTCTGCATGATGTCCTCTAAGGCCCAAAATATGTTTCGGGCCGATGTAGGGCAGCTCGAATGCCGTGAGAACATGTACGATGAGGAAATTCGCACACTCCAGAGCGATAACGCTCGTGAATACGAGAAACTTGGACGAATCATCTTTGAAAATACAACACTCATGCGTAATTCACGAATGCCTACACACCACAACAGAATGGTGTAGCAGAGAGGCGTATGCGCACGCTCCTTGGGAGAACAAGAGCTTTTCTCATCTACCTCATGTCCTTTGTGGAGAATGTGTGACACATGTTGCAGATCTTCTTAACATTACCCCGAGGTCTGTTACAGACAAGATCACTCCCTATGAAAAGTGGTTCAACAAGAAACCATCCGCACAATATATATGAAGGTATTTGGATGCACTGCATACGCACACATACCGGAATTATACCGAAACAAACTCGAAAACGAGCAAAGAAGTGCATGTATCTGGGCATTCCACCCAGTAAGAAAGGATATCGACTACTAGTCACAACGGAAAACAGAATTGTATACAGTCGAGATGTCATATTTTGAGAAAAAGAGTTTCCCAAACTGGAATTCTTAGACTCTCCAGCCATGAGGGACGTACTCAGCCCTCTAACTCAAGAAGAATAAGGGCCTCAACATCCTCAGCATCTGCCACCTCTAGCTGAAATGCTAAAGCGGAATGCAAATGTACTCACCGCAGAAGAGAATGACTCTGCACAAAAGAAAGCAAAGAAGTCTACAAAAGATGACGAAGCAAACTCTCTCTTTGAACTACTCAACGATCCCCTGGATGTCGAAGAACGACAACTTCTCGTTACTCAGACATACTCGTTGCTTATTATCTGGCATATATCGGAACCAAAAACATACAAAGAGGCAATGCAACTCCCTGAAGCCGCTCAGTGGAAATCTGGAGCGCGGTCAGAATACAAGTCCTTAACGGAAAACAAAACCTGGGTTCTTAAAAAAAATACCCAAAGACCGAAAAGCATTGCAATGTCGGTAGGTATTTGTGGTCAAATATAAAGGAAATGGCAAAATTGACCGCTACAAAGCACGCCTAGTTATCAAACGATTCTTGCAGAAGCATGGCATTCACTACGACGAAATATTCTCTCCGGTCATCCGCATTAAAGTTATCAGACTTCTTCTGACGATTGCCGCACTACTTGACATGGAAATATATCAAATGGATGTGAAAACCGCGTTCCTTACTGGTTTCCTCGACGGAAAAAATCTACATGGTACAGCCCGAAGGATTTACTGTCCGAGGGAAGCAAGGACTCGTGTGTAAGTTGCTTAAAAGCCTATATGGTCTCAAGCAAGCACCTCGAATCTGGTATCTCACGCTCTGTGCATTCTTAACTTCGATGAAATTTCGGAAACTGGTGAAAGACCAATGTGTCTTTGTCGGAAAAGCTGATAGACATACTTGTGTACGTTGATGATCTTCTCATCATTGCTCCGACACTCTCCACCATCAATTACATTAAAGACGCTCTGAAACGGCGCTTTAAAATGTCTGACTTGGGAGAAGCCCAGTACCTCTTGGGTTGGTCTATCGTACGAGATCGACAGAACAGATCTATCTTCATCCACCAAGAGAAGTACGCTACCAAAGTACTTGATCGCTTCTCGCATCGTAATGCTCATTCAGTTGGTACACCAACGGATCCAAGCACAAAGCTATCTCTCACAATGTGCCCACAAACCGAGCCAGAATAGAAAGAGATGCAAGCGATCCCGTACAGAGAGGCCGTCGGTAGCTTCATGTACTTGATGATGGGAACCAGACCCGATCTGGCTTATTTTCTACGAGAGGTAAGTCAATTTCTATCCAACCCAGGTAAAGCTCACTGGAATGCGGTTAAGAGAGGCCTTAAATACCTCAATGGCACGAGAAAACTGGCCATTACCCTAGGAGGAAACCAAAACCTAGAGCAGTATAAAGCACAGTAGTATCTATCTGCCTTCTCGGGTGCAGACTACGCTAACTGCCCTGATACCTGTCGATCTGTAGGAGGATACATCACATATATGTGCGGAAGCCCAATCTCATGGCAATCTAGGAAACACCACACGGTTGTGTTATCCACGACAGAAGCTGAATATATCGCGCTGTGCCACTGCATGCAAGAAGTCATTTTCTTAAATCTTCTACTCGCCGAACTAGATCACAAAAGCCCACATCCAACCACTCTATATGAGGACAACCAAAGTTGCATTAAGCTTTCATACAATCCTGAGTTGCATGGTAGAAGTAAACATATTCACATTAGATACTGCTTCGTGCAGGAGAAAGTGGAACGAAAAGAATTTGAGATCAAATACTGTAACACAAAAGACATGGTAGCTGACATTTTCACGAAATCTTTAGCAAGACCAGCATTTACAAAGTTAAGAAACGCACTTTGTCAATGAACCTAATAAAACTCACCCCAACACTTAAGAACTCCAAAAAAAGTTTTTAAACAATTTCTAAATATCCAAATGAATCCAAATTCATAAAAGTAAGATATTCCCTTTAAACGGAGCAAAATCTGATACACAAACATTCACAAGTAAAAGAATAAAACTTGAATTTCTTCATAAAACGATAAAAAAGGCAATCAAAAAATTGAATTTTAAACTTAAAACTACATGGGCCTGTCCTTAACCGCATACGCCCCATCAATTGTCTCGAAAAAGTTTGCAAGGAGATCCTCACGATTTGGGAAGTAGCGGTAGCTGTCAGAGTCGATGAAGACAAATTTGTCACCGACCAAGGCTTGGGCAATGCAGTGCCAGGTCCCTGGAAGCTGCCCTGGCCGGCGACCAATCACCAAAAGTGCCAGTCGACGACTCCGAATCACAGAGGCAGGTCGCCTGGCCCGTCTCTTGAAACTTGCCTTGACATTGAGGAACCGCAGCTGTTTCGGCCTTTTCTGCAGCCCCTTTTGAAGGAGAAAATATTAAAAATCCACAAAAGATCACTGAAAAACACACTTTATTCAGTCTTGAGTCCACACGATTAACAACGCCCTGGCAGCTGGTCTAAACTTCACAGTCGTCATTGGCTGCTGAAACAGCCAGTTCCACGCTCTCTGAACGCCACCCAGCCGCGCAGATACACTCA